TTTTAAAGTATATTTCAATAAAATTTTTAATGAAATTGTTTAAGCATCTTAATTAATATTAAATATTACTATATTAAACATACATGCATTAATCTTTATTTAAACAAGAACGACCACTATGACAATGACTTGTATACTTCACATTTACTTTCATATATTTACACCTTTTCTGTCACATGAACCCTTATAGTTACAAACAGAACCTGATATCATCTCTAGCTTTTGAAAGATTAGTTATATACTTTTTCAAGATTCGGTAAAGGGTGCTTCTACTAATAAATGTATCTCTATTTTGTAGGTATTACAGGGAAAAAAAGGTGGTAGTCAATGAAAACAGTTAAGATCAAAGAAAAAATAAATGATAAGCAGGCCAACGTCCAATATATTAGTGGGTACCAAGAATGAATCCAACTTCCAATATATTAGTGAGCACCAAAAATCTAATGTCTAATGTATTATTAGTAGGCACCAAGAACAAATCCAATATTCAATATATTAGTGGGCATCAAGAACAAACCCAATGTCCAATGTATTATTAGTGGGCACCAAGAATGAATCCAATGTCTAATATATTAATAAGCACCAAGAATGAATCTAATATCCAATATATTAGTGGGCATCAAGAATCCAATATATGTTAGTGGGTATCAAGAACGAATCCAATATCCAATATATTATCAGTAGGCACCAAGAATAAATTCAATATCCAATATAGTAAGCACCAAGAACAAACCCAACGTCCAATATATTAATGGGTACCAAGAATGAATCTAATATCTAATATATTAGTGGGTATCAAGAACAAACCCAACATCCAATGTATTATCAGTGGGCACCAAGAATGAATCCAATGTCCAATATAGTGGGCACCAAGACAAACCCAATGTCCAATATATTATTAGTGGGCACCAAGAATGAATCCAACATTTAATATATTAATGGGTACCAAGAATGAATCCAACATCTAATATATTAGTGGGCACCAAGAATCCAACATCCAACGTATTATTAGTGGGTATCAAACAAATCTAACGTTTAATGTATTAGTAGGCAACAAGAATTAAGGCAATGTGAAACCAAGAACAAATCAACACGAAATAAAAAGAAAGTATGCTAACCATTAAAGATAAAACAAACCAGGTAAAAAAATATCAAGATAAGAGCAAAAAGGCTTTTTATACTCTTATTTATAATGATGTTATTACTATATCTTTTGTAATAACATTATTATATTTTTTGAAAAAATTTTTTTTTTTTACAAGATTTTCAAGATCTTGCATCAGATTACAACTGACACATGTCAGGTGACTGATCAACAGGTGATGTGCATCACCTGAAAATCAGCATCTGACGTGCGTCGGATTGCATCTGACACAAGAATACATCTGAGGTACAACATATATAATAGAAACACAGTAAGGCTATATATTTATAAAGATATTTCATAAAATATATATTTAGAAAGATTGTATTTATAGTAAATTAAAATAAAAAAAATTGTTAATAATTTTAAACAACTAAATTTTAATGATTGTGACAAATTAAAATAAAATTAGTTTAAAATAAAATTTTTTAATTTTTAAAAAAATTTAAAATTTTTTAAAAAAATTATTTTTTAGAGTTTTTTTAGTATTAGAAGTCAGGTTTAAAGTTAAGATCATTAATAAAAAAGTATATATAGATTTTATAAGCTTTAAGAGTAAGTATAAAAAGTTCTTAATTTTATTTTAATCTGATTTTATTTTAATTTGCAACAATAATTATAAAAAATTAGTAGATAATACAAATGATTTAGACAAAATTTATTAGCTTGGATATTATTATAAATTTAAAATTAGAATTAAAAAAAGTAAAAATAAAATATTTAGTTATTACCAAAAATTGTCAAAACTAAATAATTCCAACAAAATTTATCAAGTTAGTTATTGTTATTATCTAGAAATTGAAGTTGAAAACAATAAAAAAAATATTTAAGTAGAAAATCGCAGTTAAAGAATATAAATTTCATAGTAAAAATCAGTAGGCATTACTTATAAAATTTTAATAGTAGTGGAATCTCAAAAAATTTTCACAAAGAGTACCATGTAAACTTCTTTTTTTACTAAGTAAGTCTTTCTTTAACTTTTAATTAAAGTTGTAGAGGAAGTTTGTGCAGTTCTAATAGTAGTAAAATCATTAAATTTGGTCTAGTAGATCATGAGATATCAATGATTTACATTTTGTGATCATATGAAATTTTTTTGCAAATTTGCAAAGAAAATTTTATATGATTACAAAATGTAAATCGTTGATATCTTGTGATTTACTAAACCAAATTTAGTGATTTTGCTACTATTAGAACCACATGAACTTCTTCTACAACTTTAATTAAAAGTCAAAGAGAGACTTACTTAGTAAAAAAAGAAGTTTACATAGTACTCTTTGTAAAAATTTTTTGAGATTCTACTATTAAAATTTTATAAGTAATGACTAGTGATTTTTACTATGATGCTTATATGATGCTTATACCCTTTAACAGTGAATCACCTTTTAAAAATTATTTGAAATTAGCTATAGTTAGTAATTCTAATAGAATGTAAAAAACTACTATTTGTTATTGTTACAGAGTTAATATAAAAAAAAAATTATAAAAATATTGTAAATAGATTAAAAAATAAGCCAATTTTCTAATTTTTATTTTATTTTATTTTTTTTTCATGTATTAGCAGCCTTGTTAGTATCTTTTATTAACTCAAAACAAATATACAGATATATTCTAAACTATTTAAACTATAGATTCAACATTACTTGGCTTCCTCTATAAGTATCCAAGTACAGTCTACTATACTGATTAAGGCTATTTTCTGTACCAGGAGCTACATCAAGCTAGCTATAAAACTATAACAAGATGATTTCAATTTAAAAGAATTTTTAACTATACTACATTAGCAATTTTTTTTCTAATTTATCTATCTCTTTACAAAATAAACTGATTTTAAATCTATATTAATCTTCAATTTTATGTTATCTTTTTTCTAAAGGTTATTGCCAGAAATCCTTTAAATAAATTTGTATTTTTGTTTTCATTTCTTCTAGTTTATTTGGTCTTTTCTAATCTAGAACTCAGCTCTTAGAAGTCTTTTTAAGTTCTTCTCTTTATAGTTTTCTTTCTGTTTTGTGGCTTTATATTCTTTTCCTTCTAGAAAGCTTATTCAGAGAGTCTTTTCTTGAAATATTCTTTTGTAGATCTTCTCTCTTGTACTCTTCTACTAGTCTTTTTGCTTCTAGGTCTTAATTGATCAGTTCAGGTTTTTTTTTCTTCTTAAAAGCCAGTTTTCTTCTCAGAAACTTCTCTTGAATTTTAATAAAGATTTCTAATTATCAAATAATTCTACTAGGATCCTCTTTACTATCCCTAATAATGTATTCTTTTTTCTTTTTAATTTTTGTTTCCTTTCAATCTTTCTGCTAATATGTTTTGAATCAAATTTGTATTTATATACTATTAGAATCTTGACTAATATATCTAATCTACCAATAGTTCTTTTTTCTTCTTTATTCAACTTTTGTTGATACACAGATCTTTTTTGTTTGATTATTATATTATTTCTATTATCCAATCTCTTGAAGTTATTAAAGAGATCTTAGGTCAATTCTTCTTTAATCTTGTTTAAAGTTTTCTCTTTTGTAAGACTTTCAATATTTTGATTTGAATTTTTTTTCTTTTTGCTTTTTTAGATTTTTCTCTTTTCTCATACTAATTTGCTGCAGCTATTTTAATGAATTCTTTAAATTGATGTATTAATATCTTCAGAGTTGTTTTGTTATACTGCTTTTATCAGGCTTTTCTTTGTTTTTAAAGTTTTTTGCTCTATCTTAAGTTTAACTTAAACTTTATTTCTATAGCTTGTTTTTCTTTTATTAAACTTGCAATTTTTTTTTTTTGGCTTTTCTTCTTATCTTATGCTAATTTGTTACTGTGGTTTTGATAGATTCTTTAAATTGTTATGCTAATTTTTTAAAAGCTAGTTTATTATACTACCTTTGTCTATTTTTTCTTTGTTCTTGAAGTCTTTTACTTTAACTTGAATCTAATTTTTGTAGCTTGCTTCACTCTGTTATCTAATATCTATCATATTTAATTAGCTATATCTAATATATACTTAATATTGTTTATTCTTCATATATGATATAGCTAATTAGGTCTACATCTTTTTGTTTTGCTATATGATAATAATGATAATTTCTCTCTTTAAGCACAAATTCTATATACTATACTTCTCCTCTTCTGTATTGCTATAGTTCTTTATATAGTTCTTCTATTTGTGCTTTAGCTTTTTCTTCTATAAAGAGTTCTTTTCTAACATATTCTGCTAATATTTGTTCTATATGAATTGCTATCTTTTTATCAGTCTTTGTTGATATAAGCTTTCTTTTACCAATTGTTATTATAAATTTTACGTAACTTTCTGTTTTCTTATTGTTGTTATTATTATTGTTGTTGAGCTTTGTTGTTATTAGATATCTTGAACTATTTCTTAAGTTTGCTTCAACTGTTATGTTAAATTTCTCCATAATAGTATATATTTCTTCTTTTATAATAAACTTATCTAGGGCTACTTTTTCTCTATTTGCTGCTATTCAAAAGTTTTTTTTATTTCTTTCTATGAGTTTTTCATCAGTATAATCTATTTCACTTCATTTAAACAAATATAATTCCTCTAAGAGAGCTTCTATTTTCATCTCTGCTTCTTCTATTGTGACAAGTTTTTTTCTAGAATATTCTGTTAACTTTTGCTTTATGTAACATTATTTTTTAGTTGTTGTTAATTGTTATTGTTTGATGCAATTGTTTATCTCCTTTGTTTATCTATATTATATATTTTTTGGCATGTTTTTTTTGTTTATTTTTCATTATGTGTTGTGATTCTTGTATTACCAAAACAGATCTGTAATTTAGAATCAAGGCTACTTTTTTAAAAATTCACAAAGTGCAATAAAATATTGACAATTTTTACAACTTTTTCTATTTCTTTACTGCTTTTGCTTTAACTACTCAAATCTTTTAAAAGACTAAGTATTTTTTATAATTTTCTTCTTCTTTACTTAGAGTTCTGAATTTGGTTTTCTAATAACTTTTGTGTATTTTTTGTAGTTTTTTGTTAATTTTTATTTTCAAAAATTTGTGTTTTGATGATTAGCAGAAAGAGTTTTATATGATTTTTTAATTTTTTATTATTTTAAAAATTTAAAATATTTTATATATATTTAATAAAATATTTATTTTTAGTATACTCTAT